TGTTGACTCATGAAATTTGCAGATATGGCCTTGAAGGATGGCATCTCCCATGAATTATGGGCTGATATTTTTCGAGCTAATTAAGTATCTTGAACAAGAAAAAAATATAAAAAAAAAACATAAACACAAAGATCTAAACAATATTGAAATATAAAGAAAATTAAATACACCAAAAACAAAATAGAAAATCAACCTTAATTTGTTAGTTTGTTTGAATGGTGACGAAATATAGTCAGGTCAAATCAAAATTTGAAACTAATTTGGGTGATGATGATGTGCAAAGAAGATTGGGGTGATACTTATCCCTTTTCTACCTCAAAATCGGAATTTGTTAAGTTTAAACTTAAAATCCTAACAAATGAATGGAAAATATTTARACGRAACCTGAATTTCAAATGATTTGTTCTTCATAAAACAGGTGACATTATTTCGTTCCAAATAGGATGTTCCAAACAGGGGTTACACTATTATTAGGCCACTTAGGTTTCTCTTTCTTTTTCTTACTAACTCTGCTTTTTCTATTTCTCCTTTWTAAAAAGACTTCTAAATCAATCAGGTTCAAAATTAAAAGCTTGGATACTTATTAGAATTATTTATTTATTTATTTATTTTTAAGTTTAAGGATCTACCMGACATAATCCTGAAAATTTATGACCAAATCTTTAATTTAACCTAAACTATTTCAGTTTTAACTTTTAACTGGAATTTTAAAAAAATATTATAAATCCTTTAGATGCGCACACAATTTTTTTTAAGTGTCAAGCTTAATTGGTAACCGACGTCTATATGTCTCTACGAGTTCGAATCTCTCAGCTCCCAACTTGTTGTACTAAAAATATATATTTTTTTAAAGAAAATAATAAAATTGGAAAATAAAAAAGTTTATCTAACAAACCCAAAACTGTTAAGTTAAAAATAATATATTTCTAAAATCACTAAAGAAAATCTCATTTTGAAAATATTACTCAAGAAAATTTTGATGTGTATGATTGTGGATGTATAGGATGACACGTTGACCGGTGACGTATCATCGGTGGATATTGCAACTAAAGATAATTTACAGAAGCTTGTAAATGTTGGGGAGAATCTACTGAAGAAACCATTGTCAAGGGTAAATTTGGAATCGGGAAAGTTTGAACCAGTTGATGAAGGCACCAATGAAGAAGCTCTCTTTGAATTTGCTAAAATGTTATCAGAAGAGAGAAAGTTACGATTGAGCCCTTAGATCTATGCATGGATTTTTACTCTCTTATCCTTATGATATGAATATTTTGGTGTGTTTTCTTCAATGTTCGAGTACAATAAAATGTAAAGGAATTGAATTTTGTCCAACTAATAATAATCTATGATTGATCAAGAATGTTGATTTTGAATTACTGATTCAATTTAATCTTTAATCTTTAAAATTTTTTTAATATAAAGCCTCCTGTGTCATTCGTTATTGTTTTTTTTATTATATTTTGACACCGTGACATTCGGACAAACTTATAAAAAAATGAATTTTTTATGGGTCGCCATGTTGGATTTTGTTGATTGATAGGGTTGGTTTCATATGTCATGTAGCATTTTCGTGATATGTTTACGTTTCACGTCTTCAAATATATCAATGAAAAATTTTCATGTATCATCAATTTTTGTTTATAAAATTTAATAATAACTTTTTATAGAATTATCCTTGGGCTATTCTTGGTTGAAGTTTGTGAAGTCGATGCACATCCCTCAATTGTTGCAAGCACGTGTTGGTGAGTTGTTAAAAAAAATTTGGAATAGAGACATTTTGCTCTTTTACCATCAAGAAAATAAAAAATAAAAATCAACAAAACAAAATAAATTGGTTTGGGAAGCAAACACAAATTGTTGAGACAGTGTGTGATAGTGGACATGTGGTAAAGGAAAGAAAAGGAGTGAGAGATTGGAAGGGARAAATAAAATAAAATAAAAGAAGTGGGGAAAGAGAACGAAGGGGAAGAAGAGAAAGAACGGGAGAGAGGGAGCAAAGGTTTCACAAAGCTGTCGAGAAATAGAGGCTGAGATTGATTTCGATTATGTTTTTGGAGAGCTCCACCATGGAGATCGGTAAATTTAGGTAATTAAACTGGTTTTATTTGAAAATTTGGAAAGAGATTGTTGATGCTAGAATTTTAGCCTCCTCGGTTTTCGTCAAATATGCATCAAATTCGATGATCACGGGACTGGATACCTGTAAAATCGAATAACCCTAAACCGGTGTGATTTTGGTCACATTGGCTCCGATGCTAAAGTCAGTGATGAGAGAACCACTGAGTGAAGTAATTAGGGTTTTTTTGTACGTTCGGAAAAAAAAGAAGAAAAAAAGTCATGAGGGACAGAGTAATAGGACAAAGTTTTAAAATAATATAGTTTTGAAAATAAATTACAAAAATAATGTTGGTTTAAAAATAACTACAAATTAAATGTAATTTAAATAAATAAATTCAAACGTAAGTTAGGTTTTTAAAACTATTGACAAAAATAGGTTAGGTCAAAATAAAAGTCAAAACTCATGTGTGTAATTTCTATACAAAACGTGTATATTATTGTACGCAACTTCAACCTTTTTTTTATTATTTTTATTATTTTATTACTATTTCAATTTTTTATATTATTTTTTTTATTAATATTACAAAATGATTAAAATTTGTATTTTTTGTTATTATATTTTAAATTTGGATTAAAATTTCATTTAAAGTCTGATAGTTTAAAATTACATTAAAACCAATTCGATGATTAAAATGTCATTTAACTTCTCGGGCTTCATCTYCATATGTTCTATAAAATAACATTTAAATTTAATGTAAACTAAATCGATAAAAATTATTAAATTAATAAAAACATAAAAGTCAAGGTGTAAATTACATGAAACCTACACTAGTTTTGTAATTTGTTTTTAAAAAATAATTATTTAAAAAAAATCCTCAAGATTCCAAGGTTTTTTTTCCTTTTATAAAAAAAAATGGCTTTACTATTTCTTTGTTCTTCAATAAAAATTCATAAAAAAAATCTGATTTCCTTTGGGAATCTCGATGATGTTGCATCGTCAAATACATGGCTTTRGAACAAAACCCAGATTTTGGTTTGGGATTTAGAGGTCGTTTCTGAATCTGGGGTATGGATAATTAGGGTTTTTTSTTTTGTTTTATAATTATTTTGTCTTAAATTATTGTATTAGAGAAAGATTYCCATGTTGTAGGTAATGCATGATCTATTTTTCAAATATGGATAAAATTAAGATTATACAATTTAGTCTTTTACTTAAATTATGGTTTTTTAAAATAAAATTCAAAAAAGAAAAAAAAANTCTTTGCATCAAGCTTCGATCTCTCATCTTTAGGGACATGTACGAAAGCTTTACACCCAAATACACATAGGTGATAATAAGATATCTCCTTATCTGGCCAAATTCTATTAGGAACTTTAAAACTAAAAGGAATTCATGTGTGAGATTCAAAACATGCATAACCAATGCTTTGCCCCATAATGATCTCAGCAATTATGATTGGGAAAGCAAACATCTCACTCGCTAAACTAGTGTTCTATTCATTCTCTCAGCTAGCTCATTCAACTGAGGAGTCTTCGGAGGTGTCTTTTGATGTCGAATATCATGACTTCTACAATATTCATCAAAAGGTCCACAATACTCACCTCCATTATCGGTCCTGATGCACTTCAACTTCTTACCAGTTTCACTTTCAACAAGGGCATGAAACTGTTTAAACACTTGCAACACCTGATCACTTTAGTCTTAAATGTATAGATCCATATTTTCCTTGAATGATCGTCTATAAATGTCACAAAATATGAGAAACCTCAAAGTATTTTAGTATTTATAGACCACATACATTAGAATATACCAAGTCAAGATATTTGGCTTCTAAATTAAATTTAAAATAAAAAAAGAACAAAAAGGGAGTCCAAATTCAAAAAAAAAAAAAAAAAGAACAGACTTCCGTCAGTAGAGACGTGGCTCCACCTGCAGCCACGTCAAGGAGAAGTCGCAGCCAATGGCTACGATTTACACGCCAGCGACTTTGGTCAAATCGCAGTCCATCCCTACGATTTATCTATCATATTTTTATAATTACTTTGAAACCTACGCTAGTTTTCTCATTTGTTTTTAAAAAATAATTATTTAAAGAAAAAAATCCCAAAGTAATAATTTTTTTTTTAAATTTTGTTGACCGCTCAAACCGCAATAGGAAATGTTATTCAGATGGTAGCGAATGTACATCAAACTCCCAACTATATGGAACTCTGCTCATCTCTTTGTTCTCTTTATATGAAGAATGACTCTGCTTGCTACTTAGGTTAAAGTGATTGGATAGAGAAGAATTTACTGCTTTAGCTTTGCTTATGTTGAATATTTCAAACAGCTTCTCTATATAATGCGACATATTCAGTTTCTTTGATGCTCTGTCTCGTGTTGTACAAATTCCAAGAATCTTCTTCACTCGCCCAAAATCCTTCATGGCAAAGGATTTGCTCAATTGTTTCTTCAACGTGTTGATTCTTGAAATATTCCTGCCAACAATCAAAATATCACTAACATAAAGCAACAGTATAATAAAGTCATTATTAGAAAACTTTTGCACAAATACGCAATAATCGAAAGTAGTCTTTTGAAGCATTACTCCCCCATAACTTACTTAAATTTCTTGTACCACTGCCTCAGTTTCTGTTTCAACCCATAAAGACATTTATTCATCCTGCATATAAGATTCTCCTTGTCTTTCTCCTCAAATCCCTCTGGCTGTTCTATATAAATTTTTTTATCTAAATCACCA